GACGTGAGGAAAACCATGCATGTGTGTCCTTCTTCCTATCTAGCTGCTGGTTGTCCCTGGAAGACGGCCTCATCTGGAGTTTCTTTGGCCCTGTGTGCCTCGTCATCATCCTCAACGTCTTCTTTTTCATCGTCACCGTCTGGAAGCTTGCTCAGAAGTTCACCAGCCTCAACCCAGACCTCTCCAAACTGCACAAAATTAAGTCAGTCTGTGTGTTTGTTTGCTTGTTTCTTTCTTTTTGTGTGTCATGCTGTTGTAATGTGTGAAGTAATGTGACCCACACCTGTTCCATTGCACAAGCTCTGAGTTGATACGTATGTTGGTCAAATGGGGCAGCTCTGGGATCTGAAAAATGGTTGGAAAGAATGTAAGCGTTTTGTGAGGGAAAAATGTAGAGAATGTTTTCATAATACCGACTCAGCTCTCTAATGGGTTGCTACTGAGGGACTTTTTTCCCACAACTCCATCTATGCGTGCTCATTTTTTCTCTACACTCATTGCTTATGTAGACAACACTGTATAAACTTGCAGCTGCAAAACGCATCTCAGCAAAAAGAATCCATCCTTGGAGACGCTGGTTCATCAATCAGTGACGTTCAATTTAGTCCAGGCAATTGGGAAAGTGAATTTATTGCTCTAAAATTGGGGGAGCAATTTTTTCAGTTAAACTCAGAAAGCATTAGATTTTAATCCAAAAGGTTTTTGTCATTGGGAAACATTTTATCTCAACCAATTCTTGGTAACATCAGGGAGTCTTGAAAGAAATGCTCTCTCTTCTGACGGACTAAAATCCAGTCAAGTCTTATCTTGTGTTTTAGATAGTTTCACTTTAATGACTATATAATTCAAATGTGAATTATATAGTGAGTTATTCATGGGAATAAGAGGGATACATCTACAAATACTACTACAAAGGGCCCATGCACAGTACATTGCCAGAAACTGAAAAATAGTGTTTTTCTGTGCGGACTTTTTCATTTTATATTTATCAGTTGCCTTTGGCTCTTCTTCTTCCACTAGCTTTCAATAGACGGTAAAGTGAAACATGTCTCTGTTCTGTAGCTGCTCTGCTGAGACCCATCTCCTTTTTCTCTTCCTTTCTACTCTTGAGGGGGTTTCCAGATACTGCACTGGTAACTGAGTCATCCGTGTATTTGGGTTCATGTTAATCTTTCATTCTCTATCCCTTTCCCCCAACCCCCATCCTTTTTTTTTAATCTCCAGAGCTTTTACAGTGACGGCTATCGCCCAGATGTGCATTCTAGGTCTGATGTGGGTGTTTGGGTCCTTCATGTTTGGAGAGGGCACCATAGTGGTAGCATATATCTTCACTATCCTCAACAGCTTGCAGGGAGCGCTGGTGTTCATCATGCACTGCCTACTGTCTAAACAGGTAGGATACAGTATAGCTGTGTGTGTGTGTGTGTGTGTGTGTGTGTGTGTGTGTGTGTGTGTGTGTGTGTGTGTGTGTGTGTGTGTGTATGTAACTGGGTGAGTATGCATGAGGCTAAGAGATAAACACAAAATAAATAATTATAAAACTCCAACCACAAAGTGAAACGAGATTAGATTGCAATAAGTTGTTTTTCTTCTGATGTTCTGCTGCCCTCTGCAGGTGAGAGAGGAGTACACCCATTTCCTCTCCTGTATCTGCACACCACAAAAGAAGAGATACTCAGACTTCAGCAGTACCAACCCTTCCAGTAGTCAGACACAAGTAAGCAAGAAGTGGCCGCACTCACTATCACTCTCTCCAAGTCACAAACACATGTACTCAACTGCTGTACTCAAGTACAAGTACTTCAGTATTTCCCTTTTATATTAACCAATACTCCATGTTAATCATACTTCATATATATATGTATGTATGTATGTATGTATGTATGTATGTATATATATATACATGCATATATATATATATATATATAAAGTTAAATTATGCATAATACATAATAATGCCAGACATGTACTTGTTATGGAGTATTTTTTTAATAAAATAAATAAAGTTATAATGTTTCCAACACTGCAAACACATTACATACAGTATGTTGTCTTACACTGTTTCTGAACTTGTGCTGTTTGTGTTCATTTAGGGTTCTCGGAGTGGGCAACACACCGGAGAATCCCAAATATGAAGCGCTCTATCTTTTATTCCACCCAAAAGACTATCACACCTTTAACCTGTCTGGGCTAAGTTAGTCCTCAAGGTTTGGATCACTTCAAATAAAAATTCAGTCATTATTTACTAACCTTGATGTCAACTCAATCTCTACTTTAGTTTTGTTGTACCATTACACCAGTTGTTCAATAGTATAACTACACCATCCCTTTTTCTAGGTTTTCACATTCTTTGGTTGAACTTCCCAGTAGACGTATACAACTTAAACCAGGGGTTGTCAATAGTTATTGCTTGGCCAGGAAGGGTCACATTCCAAACACACATCTAATTAGCCCCAGTAATTAAATATCAGGCTTTCAGATCCTAATGAAGTTAGTGGGACCATATTGTGAGTGGCACCATCTGCCAAATTGCTGTAAGACTGGACCTTTCAACTCAGTGCTCTAATAGTGGATCAAGTAGTATTGATAATGACTGAGTTTTTATTTAAGTTTGAAGTGATCCTATAAATGCGTCAGCAGGCAAGAAGTAACCAACTTCTAAAAGTGTTTATTCAGGAACTCTTTAAGTGAAAGTGAAGATATTTGAGTAGCTTATTGGTTCATCCATAACATATCACAATCATAATATAAGCTGTATTCCACTTGGAGTGATTAAAAGTAGTACAGTATATACTAATACAGACTATTTATTTTTACAATTGCAGACTAAAGTCTTCATTGTGTAGGCTACAAGAAAATATGAGTGATGCTCCCAATGTTTAAAGCATGAGCAAACAGTTTGCGCTGTAATTTTTTAATAATGTTTTATGTAAAAATAAGGGTGGACGTGCTGCTTTTTGTTTATGGGATCTTCACAGAAACTATTTGTTTCCAAGTTGTAATGGCAAAGAAGCAAATGAGCCATGAAGTGCCTCTGATGTTCATCTTCATGTTCCTGCAAATCCCATGTGGGTTCCTGCAAGCATTTTATGTTTGATGTTTCTTGATTTTAAACAAAATAGGAGATTTTTTTTTTAAATCCCTTGTGGCTATTTTTAAAGAATATTTTATTGGGTTACAATTGAGCTGAGCCTTTTGTCACTGGTGTATATTTCGTTTTTATTAACCAAGAAATCAAATCCAGACTAAAATGTTTGCTGGACCGCTCACAAAAACAACAGCAACCCACCCTTTTGATAAGCCTGCAGCTTCCTGCAATCAGCTGTGTTTATGGAATAAAATCCCCATTTTGTTTCCATGTTTTCTTATTATAGCTGTTAGCCTATGCCTCCACACATTGTAAGTGACTGTAAGGTATCACATCCCCGAAATAAGAACTTCAACCATTTTGGTGAGGGCTACTGGGAGCTGTACAGATTTAAGTTTGTTTATTTTATTGCACTTTTTCTTTTTATAAAAAAAAGACAATTGAGCACATCCTCACTCACATATTGCATGGGAGAATGTAAAAGACTTGAGAACCAGCCTCACGTACAGAACCTGAACAGTTTACCTGTTGTAATAAAGCTATTGATTATATATTTATATATTTTCTATTTAATAGAAATCATGTCACTGACATTGATCTTAAGAAAAAAAAAGAGACCTTTTGGATTTGTTTCTTTTTATATGATTGGTTTTGTCTTAGACTGTTTGTTGATATCTAAATTGCCTGATTAGGGGCATGTATGTGTTGGTTTTAAAACCTAAACTGTTCTTCGGTTCTTACGTGGGGCTGCACTTTTTTTGTGACCATTGATACTTTTTATTCATGCATTGCAAGATGTATTTTTATGTGAAAAAGCTATATACATTATGCAGCATTTTGTGAATGTAAGAATCTCATAGAATATACTATAGATGTTCTAGTTTGAAGGTATATAAACCTATTTTTCTACTTTGTTTTGTTATATGTTGTTCGGTACTGTTTATATGCAGCACAAAGTTTATTAAAGCTTCTGCTTCATCTGAAAAATCTGTAAACTGTGTGGTTTATTTGTCCCTTTGCAGATAGATAGATAGATAGATAGATTCAAGATCTAGTAGACAGATGCAAATAAGAAATGGGATTTTCAAAAACAAAAGCACAAAGTAAATCATTTTTTCTCTGTATAATGACAATATTGCATTTTTAACTGATACAGGATGTTGTCTGACAACAGCTCGAGTCACACTAAGTCTACCTTCTGAAGAAATGCCTACAATTTTCCAATAACTAAGTTGCAAGGACTCACCCACTTACTGTTACTGCGTCAAGGATATGTCAAGAAATGATGAATGAACTGCCATGAAGATTATGAAAATAGCAACAATTCCTTCATTATTCCTGAGGTGGAACGTTACGTGTAATTTACTTAGGTAAGTTATACTTCAAGAGACCATTCAGCCACAAGTCATAAAGTTAGCAACCGGACTCAGTGATGGCCTTAAAATCGTAGGCTAACATTAGCCAGCTAATGCTCATACAGACCGAGTATGTGGCGGCAAAACGAGTGTAGGCTACTCAACTGAGCTGTGTTATAATTTTTTGGTATTTAACTTTAATTTTTTTTTTTTTAAGAGAATTTATCTTTTTTCTTTCTTCATTCCGGGTGCCATAGGCTACTCCTGACATTTCGCACTATGTTAAATACACAGTTCAAGGGGAAATATTATTAACTTCTTCACTCCACAACATTATTTTTGCCCATAACACATCTTGTTTTGAATGCAGTTCTTTTACTTTGGTGATGAAATTTGTGTAACGAACTATTATCCCCCCCCCCCCCTCCAATATAAAATGTATAAATCAGATCTGACATGTCCTCGCGGGGGAATGAATCAGACAGGAGGAGCTCGTGACAGTGACGCAGTAGTTGATGCGTCGCAACCTGCTCTCAGCTGCAGTGCTGCTGCTCGCCACGTACTTTACCTCCGACAGCTGTGCTAGGCTGCTGCTCACACTGCGCCTGCACTCAAAACTTCACTGTGGACCTAACTCCTCTCTTTACTTCTTGGTGGAGCAGAGTTCAAATTCCTGGACAGGTAAGCTTTCTCTCACCAAACCGTAGTTCTAGCCCTGTTTTTTAATTTAATGAATGCTTTATTGGCATTAAAACACATATTAACAGTTATAAAAAGCAATGGCCGTAGATAGTTATAACTAATTAACAACGGCTACAGTTGCAACTATAATTGTACCAATAAATGTATAAATGTGTTACATATTTGTGCAATGGCAAACCCTAGTATATAGGGCATTGGAGCACAAATATGTAACACAAACAACAACAATTTCAACATGTAGAAACAAGAAGCAGTATTTAGTTTGGTGGTGTGTGACTGGATGTCCCCCAGGTTGTGGCAAGAGTTCAAATATTTAGCTGTCAGTTGAACAGCAGTTTTGTTTTTCCCCAGTACATATATTTGAGTTTGTCCTTTTCTGGTTGGTATTCAAACTGGGGATAGTTGTGTAGGATTTTGGGGAAGAATAAAGCTCTAATTTGTGCCTATTTGTGGCAGTGTAACAAAAGATGTGTCTCTGTCTCCGCTGTTTTCTGTTTTGTGTTTTCTCTTCACAGCCTGTCCTCCCTGGGCAGCCGGGTTTGAAGACAAGTCTCTAGGGCCAGGCTGTGTCCACTGAGTGTGTATCTCAGTGGACACGTCAGTACGTTAGTGTCTTTCTCAATGTCCCATAAAACTCCATTTTACTTTTGTGGTATCTTTCCAATAAGTATTTTTCTTTTTGTCTTGCTATAATTTGGTTGGGCCAGATTGTTTGTGGGCCATGCTTTAGAGTTGGTAGGGGTTGGGGAAATGACTCTTTTCCTGGTTCATCTCTTGGTATTTTACGACTATGTGCTGGACTGTTGCTATTGCTTGTTTTTAATTGATTATAAAATTAAATTGCTCTTTTTTCAGTTTTAATTTGAAGAGGGTTTGAAGTGTTTCGATTGAATGTTTATACCAGTTTGTATAATTTAGTTGTTGACTGAGTGGTCCCCAAACTTCACTGCCATACAGAACACTGGGTTCTGTGCAATGGGTCAATTAGGTCGTGGAGGGTAAAGATGTAGTCTGATGTGCAGTAATTTGGGAGAATTCCAGTTTGAATCAGGATGTTGTGTTCATCTATCAAGTGCATTAGTCTGCTGTTCATAATGCTGCAGTAGTTAGTTAATTATTTGTGTAAAATTTGTCACTGTTTTTTGTAAATTGCTGTTAGCTAAGACAGTGTTTAAACCTTTTAGGACAGCAAATTTAACATTTAATATTTGAGTATTCTATGTAAATGTGATTGTTTTTGTGTGTGTCACCCTTTTGTCTCCCCACAGATCATACAATGAATCTTACGAGTGCTGTCATTTTGTGCCTCTGTATGTTTGGGGCTGTCAGGCTGCTCTCCTTCCCCTGGCTCTGCAGCCTGTTGGCAGGGCTGGGGCTCTGCATGTTCTGGAAGGGTTCCTGGAGGTTCCTATATGTCGCTCTACGCACCATCAAAAGAGACCTAATGTAAGTACTTTTGTGTGTTACGTGTTTTTCCCATCGTCATATTTGACACTTCAGTCATCTTCCATGCTGAATACTTCAGTCCTGTTTTTCAACTTTGTTTAATTCCTCCCTTTTCCACACCTCTCCATCTAAAAGGTGTCTGGTTATTATCGTGCGAGTCAGGTTGTCCATGTACCGTAATCTGAAAAATAGAAGCACCATTCCTGCCCTGTTTGCCCAGATGGTGACAAAGCACCCAGACAAACCTGCTTTGATCTATGAGGCTACAGGAGAGGTGAGGACTCATCGAGGAGTAAAAATAAATCAGTCATGTTATTGTCAATACTTACTGCATATTCATTTTAAATCCAGGTTTGGAGTTTCAGGGAGCTGCAGGAGCGATGCCATGCTGTGGCGCACTGGGCGCTGGCACAGGGATGGGCCGAGGGAGATGTAGTGGCCTTGTACATGGAGAGCCAGCCGTTACTGGTGGCTCTATGGTTGGGTCTGGCTATGATCGGCATAGAGGCTGCGTTCATCAACTACAACCTTCGACAGCAATCTTTACTGCACTGTGTCAGTGTGTCCGGTGCTCGGGCTATGGTGTTTGGGACAGAGATGAAAGAAGGTAGAAATATATCATAGAATAAAGATACAGGGTACAGTTAGATAGCTGAAGATATTGACTGATAGATAATTAAATCAGGCTAATTTGATGCTCTGCTAATTCCAAAATGTGTGTTTTTTTTTCTTTTGATTGTCTTGCAGCGGTGTCAGAAGTGAGCGACTCTCTGCAGCCCAACATGGTTTTGTTCAGCAGTGGTGAGCATGACGATGAAGAGAAGCTCTGCAGCTTCCAGGTTCAGAGCCTGGACACCCTGTTGGACCATTCGCCCAAACATCCACCACGCTACACACTCAAGAAGGAATTCAATGGTGAGACTCTGCAGAGTGTTTGTGCATAGGGGTATGACTGTGTTGCCATATCATGTCCTTAAGTTACATATCAAGAACAGTGCTGTAGTGGTTCCTGGAGAAGTGGGTATACTCTTAATGTATACCCATCCAGCAAAGGATAAATAACCTGCTGTTGCAGTATTTAAACACCACTCAACTTCTGCTGCTTGACTTTAGGGATTAAGGATCATTATGAAATGAACATTAGCCACAGAAGATTTTGCAATCAGTGCTGGCCCACAGACGGGTGAGACAACTACATAACTCACTCATGATAATTGGACAGCTATGTCATACCTTCGCTATCCTAGGAAGAACAATTGACTGGAAAATAAGTGGCTGTACTCCATATAGCTGTGTATACCCTGCACTCCTGATCACAAAGTTTTGATTGTGACACTTTAGTTTCCTCAGCAAGTCCCTGCCTGTCAGCGTAAATGTCTCGCTGCCAGATTTCACTCCCTCTGGTCTTTTTATGAGATTCAATTCTCTTGATAGCCTATGCACATTGGCACACACACACCGAGGGCAAACAAATCATCAATTCACTTCAAGAAATGTTATGTCATACATCACAAGTGCATCGTGACAGATATTTGATACAAAACATTTATCTTTCACTCTGAACTTCACTTTTGAGTTATTTGACGTGCATTAACTTTTCTCTTATCAAATTGCTTACCTGTCTTTGTTATCACATGACATTCCTAAGTTAATACTTTTCAAGTCTTTGCTTGCACAGCCTGTCAGACATAAAGAGGATATAGAAAGAGAGACAGAAACAGGAATGATGCGGGTGTCAGGGTGCATACCACACACGTGAAACTCTGTACCGAAAAAGCACTGAACATTGCCTATAAAAATGGGCGTCCGGTTAGCTCAGTCGGTAGAGCTGGTGACCCATGTACGGAATTCCTTTGCTGCGTGCCATCTCCCCTCTCTCTGCCCCCTTACTGTCTATCTTCAGCTGTCACTATCCAATAAAGGCAATAAAAGGCCAAAAAAAAGACTAAACTAAAAATTTTTAAAAAACACCTCACATTTCTTTTGCTGTCTTCCCCCTGTTTCTCTCTCAATGCAGATAGGCTTTTCTACATCTACACTTCTGGTACAACAGGAAAGCCGAAAGCAGCTGTTGTGGTGCACAGTCGGTAAGTTTGTCTGTGATCTCATCTCTAGGTAATTTTGCAAATTTAAAATTAGAATGAGATCCACAGTATCAATTTTTAGCCAAATGCTGCAAGACAACTACACCCAATTGCATCAACTTTGATGATTGGCCCACACACATCTGACTGTCCGAATTGTAATCAAATGATTGCTGGAAGAATCTGTCTAGTTGAGAGGACCAGAGGGAAATTTAAAAGCTTTAAAAAACTGACATAAAAATTACCAAATTGCAGTAAGTGTTTCAATTAAAATCAGGACCATAAGGGTTTTGGGTCAGTGTCTTTTGATGAGCTGAGGTCTGATGATGGATCTTTCTTGTCAGGTATTATCGCATTGCCTCCTTTGGTTTCCACTCCTTTGGCTTGCATCATGATGACATCATCTACAACTGCCTTCCCCTGTATCACTCAGCTGGTAGGCCTCACTCCATTTGCTCTTTCTCAGCCATAATCATCTTTTCCTGTCTTTAACAAGACATATTGTTGCAGTGGCAGATTTATCTTACATTCCATATTATATCATTGCGTCTTTTAAAAATTTTCATCATTATGTCATTCTCTGTGTGTGTGGTGTGTGTGTGTGTGTGTGTGTGTGTGTGTGTGTGTGTGATACACTATATGTGTGCATGCATGTGAAAATGTTTTAAATGTTTACAGGTACCATCATGGGTGTAGGCCAGTGTTTGCTCTTTGGTTTGACTGTTGTAGTCAGGAGGAAGTTCTCTGCCAGTCGCTTCTGGGATGACTGTGTCAAACACAACTGCACTGTGAGTACACACTGTTGCCAATTTCAGTTAATGGTGTCGAGTGTCCACTGATTGTCTTCAAGCAATACTGACTGAAAAAAGATATTGTTCTGTCCCTTGTCTGTGCGTCTAGGTAATTCTATACATAGGTGAGATTTGCCGCTACTTGTTGGCCCAGCCTGTCCGTTCATCTGAGGCCCATCACCGGGTTCGTCTTGCCTTTGGTAACGGCCTCCGTCCTTCTGTGTGGGAAGAGTTTGTTCGGAGATTCAGAATACGACAAATTGGAGAATTTTATGGTGCCACTGAGTGCAACTGCAGCCTGATCAACATAGACGGAAAGGTGTGTGTTATTTTAAATGACTTCAAGGAAAGAGTTAAGGGTTTTCCAAACTGTATCCTGCCTCATGTGCATGTCGTACATGTCCAGGTGGGGGCGTGTGGCTTCAGCAGTCGTATCCTGCCCAGCTTTTACCCCATCAGACTGGTCAAGGTGCAGGGGGAGAATGGAGAACTGCTCAGGGATTCACAGGGGCTCTGTATACCCTGTCTGCCTGGTGAGAACACACACACTCACTCACATACGTATGTATACATACTACAGGTTTCACTGAATAGTTGACGCTGTGCATCGTTGCAGACTATTAAATCATCTGTAGTTTTAGCATGGTGCAGTAATAAAACGGGGGCAATGCATCTACAGCAGATATGCAGCTGGGGGAGCTGTAATCATAGTGCATGATAGTAGGCTATTCAGAGCTTTTTAGATGTCCTTCTAATGGCCAGCAGTGGACATAACTTTAGTTGTTGTTGAACATAGATTTGTTTGAACAATCATTTTACATGTTATTCAATTTTAAATAATGGTATTTAGAGATTGAAAGACCGCTATCCCTGCAAGACAACCATCTTGTTGTCACTGCAATCAAACAGGATCTCCAGCTCAAGAACGCTTGCTAGGAGGTTTAGTCCAATCAGATCACTGTTCATTTGTAAACAGCCTCTTAGAGCCGGCCGATGACTTTTTCACCTACCCCCAGGTTTGTCCAGCCTACATTAGTTAACCCTTTATGTGTTGTACTTGAGACCTTTTTGACAATAATTGATCATTGTAATTGGGTGAAAAAATACGATATATCTCTCTCGATTGACTAGTTGACTACTTTTTCGGAGTAGTAGTCGAAGACTACTAAAATGCAGCAGTCGTGAATGCCCTAATAAACACACAAAGCCACAACTGAATGAAATGTGTCAAATTGATCCATGTTCTCTTCCCTGTCTCTGCAGGTGAGCCAGGTATGTTAGTTGGACGCATCAACCACACTGATCCGCTCAGGAGATTCGACGGCTACGCTGATCAAGATTCCACCAATCAGAAAATAGCTCACAATGTCTTCAAGATGGGAGACTCTGTCTACGTCTCAGGTATGTTTACGCTGATTGTCTGTTTAGGAGACAGTCATAATAACGATGATCAACTATGTGGGTTCATACTTGTTTCCTCCTACAGTCCAAAAACATACACTAAAACACAGCTGCATTGGATACTTTAAAAGTGTGAATGTTTGTGTTTCACTGTCTGTGATCACAGACTGGAACCTGTCCATGGTGTTTCACACCTTCCACCCAGTGCATGCTGGGATATGTTCCAGCTTGTGAGTGAAAAAAACCACAAAACAATTAATGATGATTGATAGAGATGATACAACCGACAGACACACTGAGGGCATTACACAGTTTAAAAATTAGAGACGTTACGTTTCAGTCCAGTAAAGCCCGCAACAAGGAGTCAGACAGCACTGTGACTCACCATAATATTATATCAAAAGCAAAACTGTAATGGTGAATCATGCTGACCTAACCTTCTACTCTGTGATCCCCTCCAGGGATTATGATGATGATGATTATTGTTAATCATCATGTTGTTATTATTTCCCTGTTTCTATCTGTCTCTCAGGTGATGTGCTGGTGATGGATGAATATGGCTACATATATTTCAGGGACCGCAGCGGTGACACGTTTCGTTGGCGAGGGGAGAACGTTTCCACCACAGAGGTGGAGGGAGTCCTCAGTGGCCTGCTAGGACACACTGACGTGGCCATCTATGGAGTTTCCGTACCAGGTAGAGATGAAACGAGCCAGTTAGGGCAGGAAAAGAAGATTAAAGGCTTAATGTGGGTGTTACATCATATAATGTATTATCTCACCTGTCTGTCTGTGTGCAGGTGTGGAGGGAAAGGCTGGTATGGCCGCAGTAGCTCACACAGGGGGTGAGTTTGACCTCGATGCGTTCTTGATGGCTGTACAGAAAGCACTGCCTTCCTACGCACGCCCAGTCTTCCTCCGACTCATGCCATCTGTTGACACTACAGGTGAAACAGTGCTGCAAGGACATGCAAACATACACACACATAAAAAAAGTTACACATAAACTTAGTCTTCCACTTTTGTCCTCAGGTACCTTCAAAATCCAGAAGGCACGGCTGCAGAGGGAAGGATACAAGCCGCAAGACTCAAGTGAAAAGATTTATTTTCTGGACAGTCGTGCTGGACGTTACGAGGCGGTTACTGACGGACTATATAGTGCCATCATAAAGGGGAGAGTATGTTTATGAGGCTGAGACTGTTGAAGAGGATAGTTTGTATATTTCAAAAGGGAAAGAGAGAGAAAGAAAGATGTATTTCCAGGGATGTAGTAACAACTACTGGAAATACTGATGTTAAATATGATTGTGTCACTGTTTTTTGTAATTAAATAAACTTTATTTTTTACCAAATTGAATAAATTTTTTCTTTCACCTGCACAGTATTTTACATTTTGTCAGTTACATATCCAGCTGATCCAGTTTTACATCAATCGCCTTCATCTAAAAACAAATTAGAAAGTAGTACAATTTCAGTCAATGTATCAGAGCCTGTACGGATGAGAACACAGCAAAAATATATTTTCATCAAACTCCTCAGAAACAAAATCCAATCAAGTCTCCTCCAACTCCTATAAACAAGACTAAGCTATGCTAGCGACTGCACTTGGACACTATATTGTGGCTGTCTTGATGCTTTGAGCTAAATGTGAACGTCAGTATGCACACATGCTCACATGTTGATGTTAAGCAGGTATATTGTTTACCATATTCACCATCTTAGTTTAGCGTGTTAGCATGCTAATATTTGCTAATTACCACTAAACACAAAGTACAGCTGAGGCTGATTGCAGGTATTTGGTTATAAACCAAAATAATGGACAGATTAAAATTTTGACCTGATGCTGCTGCTAAATGAAAAGTTGAAGGATCAGCAAAGTGATTACAGTTCATCCTGACCTTTTTGTTTGTACCAAATGACACAGCAATCAGTCCAGTAGTTGAGACATTTCTGACCCTAGAATCACGCTGCTACTATGACTGAAGACTTAAGAGAAACACTTGTATAATTGATAATAACCGAAGACTCTTATTTATCACGGGGGTTTATTAACCAGATGATCAACATGATTCGTGGATTTGTTTGTGATTGCCAGATTCAGTGTTGATTAGGGCTTTTTTCAGGGCTCTGTTCAGTGAAACATGGTAGGTCACACTGAACCTGGGCTTGCTGCTCTGTTTTTTGACAGCAGATCTGTTGTCTTTTGCCTTTTCCGTTCCAGTGGGTTTTCTTTTAATAAGCTGATCCTTCGAGGCACGTCTCTGAGGTGGGGTTTTCTTCTCTCTCAAAGAACAAATTGAGTTGTTGTCTTCAGTCAGATGCATAAACTCTGACATCTTACTGTTGCTGTTAGTCATTGCAGTGTTAACGTCTCCCTCGGTGCAAGAATTGCTTTTCGTCACCTGATCCTCCTCAGTGAGAGTAGTATCTTCCACAGAGACAAAATCTGACTCCACGCTGACTTTCACTCTCTGTGCCAACACAGTGAGGCACCCACCCAACGATATACTCTCAAAGTATGGGTACACCTTTTCAGTAAAGCAATGTCTAAATGTGAAAAGACGTGTTTCAGTATCGGCGTTCATGAATTCCAGTGTCCCTTCATCCCAGTCCAGCGTCACATGGACCCTGCTGAGGCGGTGTGAGTTTTCGAGATTTAGGGCTTCAGAGGGAGTGGTCAGAGCTTGGTACTCGCCGTCTCGCAGGCTGATACACCACAGTCCTGCCTCTGGAAAGGCCTCAAACTCTGTCCTTCTGGACAATGACTGAGCAGCAACACCGACTGTCCAATTATCGGTGTCACCAACCTGTAGAAATCAATGGAGAAAAGGATTAGACAATCAGGGTGGCTTCAGAAACACATGTATCTCACAGCATGTGTATACTAGAGCCCAACCAATACTGGACATCTAAGGCACCCATACTGATACTTGAGAGTAAATAAAATCCACCTATGGGCTGATATTTGCTTTTACAAAAGCACATAATTTTGATAAAAACAAACAGCCAGACTCGAAGGTGTAATGAAAAGCCAGTCGTCATAGAGAAGGAGAGACACAATATTGTTTAATAATGGTTAGAACGGTGCACTTTTTCAGACTGCCTCTCCTGGAAGACATTCATAGTGTTTACACTTGGTTGTTCACAGGAAAAGTGATAGAAGTAGTCGCATCAAAACTGAAAAGCAAGAGAAGTTCAAACCCTGCTCAGTTCCTCACCTCCACACAGCTGAGTAATCACGGTATGAAGCTGGTGGGAATGTCAGCTTGTCAGTTTCACAAAGTTTTGAAGAATTGGTGCCACACCTGAGAGGTGTTTGGGAGAGGGGGTTTCTCAATATATTCAACCATCTGACAAGCAGTTCTGACTCACTGGTCCTTAAACAGAGCGTAACGCTAGAACGATGTATTGGCCAATATTAGCTTGGAGATACATTGCCATCGGTGTGTACTTGAGCCAATAAGCAATACGAAACTGCAGTGCAGAAATAACAAAGTAGGTTTGAGGTCATTTTCATCTGTGTCACCAGTTCATCCACAAGAGAGTACTGACTTTTACAATGTAAAATATCTAAGTCAATAATTACAGCTCATTGTTAAACTGCTCAGGTTCGGACACAGAATGTAAATACCTCAATATCCCAACAGTGCACTCCTGAATCGAAGCCCTCTCTTGCCAGGATGCAGGAATAAGGGTGGAAACGTTCAGGGTTAGCTGGGGCAGGGACAGCAACATCCAGACTATGGTCAAGCCCCTGTGAGGATCCAGGGATGATATGGATACTGTTTAACCCAGTAGACACCCTCAGAGTATGGCTTGCTGTCCTGGGATCCAGCGTAACTGGAGCTGGAAGATACAAAGTGGGTTAGAGGGATTGAAGGAAGGAGGATGGCCGGGAACAGGAAGTGTATGAATGGATGGAAAGAGACTGACTGTACGGGGTGATGTGTTTCATCTTCTCCCACACAGCATACGGTAGGTTACCCAGGTGTTTGGCCACATCTATTAGAGGTCTGCAAACTTTCTGTGGCTCCTTGCTATAATATATATACAATGTAATAAATATGAACAAGCAGACAGTTACACGTGAGTGCTTGTGTGTGAAAAATACCCAGAAATGTCATATACCTATTTATCGTGTCTTTGTAGCACTGCAAAAAAAAAAAAAAAAAAAAAAAGAATTGGTATAGTTACTGTTTTAAATACAATCACCTATTCATTCATTGACCAATTATGTAACATTTGATTTATATTACCTCTAAAAATTTAACCCCATCTCCTCCTGCATCCAGCTCCTCTTCAACCAGTTGGATCTTCTCTTCCAGAGACTTTATCACCTGATTCATTTTGTCTATCTGATTTTCACCCTCTCTCTTCTTCTCCTCCTTTTCCTCCCTGAGTGCAAGTAGCCTGGCTGCTTCCTCCTCTCTCAAAAACTGGTGAAGACTTTCAAATTCCTTTTTCATCTGCTCCTCTATGAATTTGGCCTCAGCCTGGGAAGAGTAGGAAAAACAAAAGAAGTGTAAGGAAAGAAGAGAAAGTCCTAAAGCAGCAGACCAATCGTAAATGTATGCATGCATCTGAACTTCTGTTTTATTTGAGTTGTATAGTTGCAGTTCTACCTGGTTATGTCTGGATGCATGTTCACAGGTCTGTGTAACTTCCTCAAAGTGAGTCATCTTAGTCTTCAGTCCATTTACTGATGTTTTGAGCTCCTCCTAGTGGCCAAAAAGATAATAACAACGCTCCATTAGTAGCTGAGGTAGCCAAAGACTAAGTACATTTACTCAAGTACAATTGTGAGGAACTTGCAGTTTACACATATTTCTGTTTTGTTGCCATACATAAAACATGATAACTATAATACATTATTACAGCTTCAACTACCAAACCAATCGTATATATAGTAGTTCAAATTAGCTTCATTTTTACAAACTACAACAATATTGCTGACTTGCTACTATATGAATAATTATGATCAATGATATGATAATATAACACTGACAAAGACCTTTCTGCGCAGTGAGTACTTTTGATACTTCACATAATTGCATTTGCTCCAGTAACTATAAACAGCAGTGCTACTGCTTATATATACTGTATATAAGTAAAGATTTACATTTACTCAAGTACTGTACATTTGAGGTACTTTACTTGAGTATTGACATGTTATGCTGCTCTATACTTCTACTTCTACTACTTCTACATTTCAGATGGAATATGTGAAGATTAAAGGCTCTGCACACCTGCAGGTGTTTTCAGTTGCCCAGGCTATTTAGACCTCTCCCTTAGGTTGAAGTTGAATTCTTAAATGTTTCCTCTAGTCAGCCATAGTCAGTAATGGTATTAATGTAGGGATTGCAAGTTGTCTTGAGACATTACACACCTGTAAACTAATAGTAAGATTATTGTAACAGTGGAGTGAGTTTGTGGAGTTTCAGTCAGCACCATCAGACCTTTAGCAAAGTGTACAAGTGTAGATTTGAGCAAAGATTTACTTAAATGATTGTGTTATTAATATTTTTATATTATGATTAAGTAGTATTTTGAATACAGGACTGGTAATGGAGAATTTTTACAGCTTTTATTAGCTTTGCTAATTAACATAACACCTTTTATCAACATACTGCTTAGACATGTGTTTTCCAGGAGCAAACACAGATATTAGATTAAAGTTATTAAATGAGACGTATTCATGAGCGAGCACTGTGAACAGTACAGTATTCAAAGGAAGTTACATAACCCACATTATTCTTTGCATTTCTGTGTGTGTGTGTGTGTGTGCAAGTCAAATGTCACATCTTATGAGATCTAAACATACGTTTGTGACATGATGATGGTAGCAGTAATTACCAGCTTAGCGTTCAGCTCGGTGCCTCTTTTAAAGTCACTCTAACTTCTGCCTGTATAAACTAATCTTGGATTAACACAAGGCGGCATCTGTTTGGGCAGGAAAATGAATATTTACAGAAGATGAAAAAATGCCTGACTGCCTTCTTGTTTAAATATCCGCTTGCTACGGTCGCAGGAAGCATGTTAATGAAAAGGTGCGAAACAGTTATAAACTGGCCCCCTTAATCTCAGCAAAAAACAGGGTACAATCTGGAAAGAGCCTGTGTTATTGAGAACTTTGATATTATTTGATGTGTTTGTGCTCTTGTTTGGTTTGGCTTTGTGGCAGCGAGGCAGCTCTAACTGGAAAACCAGCATTCAAGCACTCTTGTTGGCAATCATGCCTTGCTGAAGTGTCCTTGAGGAACAGTGAATTCCTGCCAGCTGCTCTGTATCCAATCCTTCACCATGATGCTGTATTGCTTTCAGTGGAGGGATAAATAGGCCTATTTTGGGTCTTTTACTTAAGTGGCTCCCTCAAAGCGGTTGGAAGATAAATCTCAGGGATGAGTAATGTAGGAAAGAATCAAAAACATATTCGTCTACACCAAAATGTATTCATTTGTCCTGACTTCTCTCTAATCGTTCATTTTCTTGTAAAATACTGCATAGTTTCAGTCACTGAAGCCTCTTAACATATTTAAAGCAATTTTCATGGCGTGTTCATGGCTCATGGACAAACTAACAGTTTGAACACAAAAGCCAAAAAGGGTAGGAATCAGTGTTCTACTAAACCAGCAACACAACAATATAAATCGTTATTATGTAAAAAGTATACACTGATCAGCCATAATATTACGATAGGTTGGCCTTAGTTCAAAATTATGATGACAACAAAGGCATTTGTTTTGTTTATTATTTGTTTATTTATTTGTTTATTTGAATAAATCCTTATAACATATACATCGATCAGCCATAACGTTATGACCACCTGGGCACCCTGGTGGTCGTAATGTTATGCAGCCCCATAAACAACAATGCACTGTGTGATCTGACACCTTTCTATCAGAACCAGCATTAACTGTTTCAGCAGTTTGAGCTACAGTAGCTCATCTGTTGGACACGGGCCAGCCTTCACTCTCCACGTACATCAATCAGCCTTGACCTCCCATGACCCTGTCTCTGGTTCACCACTTTTCCTTCCTTGGACCACTGTTGATTGGTACTGACCGCTGCAGACCGGGAACACCCCACAAGAGCTGCAGTTTTAGAGATGCTCTGACCCAGTCGTCTAACCATCACAGTTTGGCCCTTGTCAAAGTCGCTCAAATCCTCACGCTGCCCATTTTTCCTGCTTCTAACACATCAACTTGAGGTCAAAATGTTCACTTGCTGCCTAATATATCCCACCCACTGACAGGTGCCATGATAACCAGATAATCAGTGTTATTCACTTCACCTGTCAGTGCTCATAATGTTATGGCTGATCGGTCTAATTCCTGCATTCAAAAGTTTAAATTAAGTGCAAGTAAAGAAAAAGTCAAGAACTGGGAGTACATTTTTCACTTATAACAGTGAAGTGAAATATTAGTGATTTGAAGATATTATCCATTTATACTGATTCAATACATTATTTTAGTTCTATGTCCAACTATCAAGAGTGAATAAAGATTAATCTTTTTTTCTCCCCCAGCTTCAGAATAATACTTAAGGGTCCAAATAACTCAATTTTACGTTTTCATTTTATGTTTTCAATACAATTAAAATGTTTTGGAATCTGACACCTGATTCCTACCTTGCAGTCAGTTGCAGCCTCAGTCAGAAGGTAAACCCTGTGTCCTGCATGGCTCACAGCTGCACACTCTTTACATAAAGGCTCCAGGTCATCCAAACAGAACGTAGACAGGCTCTCTCCATGTTCCTCACACTGCTCTGGAGAGTCAACTGACCAGGGAGGTGAGACGAGGCCCTCTGCCTCTGTTCCAGTGAGGCAGACAGGGAGAAAGGATTGGCAGCTCACAGAGGGGCTGTTGGTGGTTGGAGCCTCCAGATTTGAAGCCATTTTGTTTTTTGTCAGAATGAAGCAGTGAGTTTACATGAAGCGGATATAAAGTGGGAACATGGGAGGTCAAAAAAAAGGGGGGAGGAGCAGTGTGTTCATGCGTGTTGGTGTCAGTGTTGTATGTGCAGTTGCCATTCATTATGCTGCATCTGATCTGCTTACACACTCCTTCAAACTCGAAGCTTAGCCAACGTGCCTACACCAGATGGCCATACATCATGCTCTCGTGTCAGATTGACTTTCACGACCTTGTGATTTATGGTATATTCTCACATCCCAAGGCCAAATGCATGCCTTTGCTTGATATTTTTACTGCTTCACCTATTTCCCTTCTTAGAGGTATAGCAGTTCTTCCATTCAATGCCATATTTTGCAAGCAAAAATAAGATGTAATAGGGCTCTGATGACATCTCGTAATTCACTTGTGTGAAGTGCAAATTTTTCTATTTAGTAGTAGTAGTAGCATGTAGTTTCTAATTTAATTGTTAATTTTCACTTGCAGTATCAAGTTTTATATTTTTGTATGTTTATCCTACCAGGTTCAAGCTGATTTAAGATGCAGGAGTGAGAATGCTTTCAAGTTGGACATACATTAGTACTTCATGTGCTGTATGCCAGACTTGAGTTATGTTAAATGGATCAGTTTCGTTGGCCTTTAACATTTTGAGCTGCACATGTAGGTCAGATGAGCTTTGACAGGCGAATCATATTACATTGAATCACATGTTCTTAAGTGAAACGAATGACATATAATCAGTGTATTCTCAATTTGCAAAAGGTCAGGTGGTACGTGATGTACCCTCAATGTGTCAGACTAAAATGTATAACAGATTAGTAGAGTGAATAACCTAAATATGATGACATGTCATTGATCATGTCTACACATATTCCTACATACATTTCACATCTAAAGACAGACATACTGTACACTTAAGAATGTGCCCATGCAACATGAATCAAAGACAAAACAGACAAAAACCTCACATACTGAAAGGGATACCTCTGAACATGGCTTCAAAGCTTTCTTCCACTGTCTCATGCATGTTATCATGTATAGACTTATCCATGTCTACACTGTTTATACGGGTGCTACTAAACATCATTGTGCAGCGGATTGCGTGCAACGTCCATTATCAGACCCGTAACCGCAACTGATTTGTCCAAACACCGGGGGCAGCAGGCTCTCACACGCTGGCTGAGACAAGATGAAACACATCACAAGTAGTATAGCAGCTGTCTGTGCATGTGTGTTTGCATTCATTTTCTGTAATGTTTATGTAAAGCTCTCCATTCCACATGCCTCTCTGTTTCCTCTCTTTCTCTGCTCCAATAATCTTGACAGCTGAATGTTACCTAACTCGGACATGAAGAGTTTTAAGAACCGTGAAGGTGATGACAATGGTGATATTTGGTAAAGTTAAAGGCTTCACTGTATTGCTCTTAAAAGTGGTTCCCTATTTGCAGTGGACGGTTTTCCGTTTCGCCTGTGCAGCTCTGTCATCAGATTGCTCAATTACAACAGCTGATTCAGGGTTGTGCCGCTGAACATTAGTCACGTCGTGCCCAGTAAATAGATTTTGTGGCCTGAGTCCAAAGTGATGAAAGGGTGAAAGACTAGAATTCCCCTGTCTCCTCTTTTACCATCCCTCACATTCTCTTAAGTCAACATCAATTCACATATAGTCTGTAACAACTCCTCACCCTCTCTGGAATATCGCTCCTCGTCCTGATTCCACTGTTTAACATTGCTGCCAATAAACTAGAATACGAGGGCAGAGTTGGTTGTTGTTTTGCCACGTTTGTCTCAAGTATTGACTGTCAACATAAAACGGTTTTATTGAGTGTACCACAGTGAAATGACGTGTGAGTAGAGGAAGAGGTGTGGAAACAGTGATAAAAAGAAGTGAGGATACACAGCAGCAACTGATAAAGATAACAGGTGAGTGTAAGACAAGAGCAGAGGAGAGAAATAAACAAGAGGAGAGAGGCTGATGAAAGAGAAATGGGAGGGAAGCTCTCCTGTCACCTAAACTCCAAGGAACACAAGTACATCTCAGGTAAGCCTGTAGAAATGGTGGTAAAATATGTTTGTCTGTCAGCTATGTGAAGCTGTGTTTGTCGAATGTGTTTGAATGTTCATCTCACCTCACACAAGCCTCCTGAAACTGAAAGATGTATATATTTATATATATTATATTATATTCATATATTGTGTCTTACACAACAATATGTAATAATCTTATCTGTAATATTCCACTCTCTTTGTACACCTTTAACTTCACCCTGTCTTTTGTCATTCATGCTCAATAGCAGAGAAAGACACTATTTACCAAACACCCACAAGGGCATGCAGATACACACACACACACACACACACACACACACACACACACACACACACACACACACACACACACACACTTATTTTCCCTTTAATGTTTCACCTGCACTTTACATACATACTGGTGCTAACTTCTTTCTGTGAACGAACAGAGCACATCGCTGACATCATGGAGTCGTTGGCTCCTCTATGTCGACATCACCTCAGCTCAAATCTACTGACCCAAATGAGGAACAAACACATGGAGCCAACCGAACCCCGCCCACTGACCCAGCATCCAGTAAGAAAATCTAAAAGATTAGCTATTTTCATATTTATCTATATGTATTAAACTCTTCTACCCTGTGCTCCAGGATGTCGTTGCTGAGATTCTGTTGGAGGTTACTTTGCCTCAATACCTAGCTGGGAACTGGACACATCGCCACCTACAGGTCACCAACAGTTTTACAGTTGAGAGTCGTGAGTCCAGACAGGTACAGATGTAAAACCAGGACCCATCTGCTCCCCGACCTACATCTGTTTTGTTTTTACTGGAGCCTGATCTGCACATTGTGTGTCCGTGTGTGTGGGGCTTTGTATGTGACCAGGTATTTGAAGGTGGTTGGGGATGTAAGACAGAGTTGGTGCTTTCTGGCAGTCATATCTGCACCTCCCTACAAGAGCATCAGGAGTTAGTGGATGACATGTGCCGACATATCAAAGGTATACTTTTAGACTGCAGCTGCTATTTATTGTCTATAGATTGTACATTTTGTTCTATTTAATTCAAACAAACACACTTTAATATGTGTGTCTGTGCTTTTGTGTGTTTGTGCACTTCAGGTAAATCAGGTGGTAAACTGGCATGTTGGGATTGCCCCACAGCATTTCCTGTCTTCATCCAGCACCCTTACAGTGCCCCAGTGTGTCTGGCCACTGGATCATACCAGGAACAGACACGGTGGGCCAATGTACTACGAGCTGCAGCACAACATCAGAGCTCTGGTATAGTTCTCTATCACTGTTCCAAATAATGAGACTAAATATTCACACCCTTCAGTGTCTTTATTAAGTTATTCCCCCTCCCTCCATCCATTCCCTTGATTGTGCATTGTCTGTTAGCACTTTGGTGTGAAGATACACCAGAATCCAGGGCCTTCTTAGATGCTGTATCTTCCTTGAGGAAGCTCAGACGACACTGTCAAACAGAGTTACAGCCAATGGGCGATGAGGAAGAGGTGAGTAGTCATCAGACAAGATGTCATCCTCTAAACCTCTTTGGCTCCCTTAAATCCTCATTCTCTCATTCCCCTGTCCATTTTAAACTATTTCTGTTTGCCTTGGGTCGGCTGTGGCTCAGGAGGTAGAGCGGTTGTCCACTAATCAGAAGGTAGGCAGCTCCTCCTGCTGCATATCGTGTCCTTGAGCAAGATACTGAGCCCCAAATTGCTCCTGATGCTGGTCCATCAGCATATGAATGTCTCTTAGTATCTCTTTCTGATGAGCAGTTGGCACCTCACATGGCAGCTGCTGCCATCAGTGTATGAATGGGTGTGTGAATGGGTGACTGTGACATGTTGTTTAAAGCGCTTTGAGTGGTTGAAAGACTACAAAGGCTATATAAGTACATTTAATATTCAATCATCTATGTACCAGTCATCAGACAAAAGGTCATCTTTGTTTACTGCTTTTTTCTCTGATCATCTAAGTCTAATGACTCTCTTATAGCTCCCATCTTTCTACTTCTTCTTCTTCTGTCCCTCTTTCTCCTTCAGGTGTTGGTAGGCATGGTGATGGAAGAAGTGATGCCCTACCTCAAGAAGCAAATATTTCACAGGATTGTTGTGAATCACAATAGGAGGAGGAAAGCCTGGATCAGAGTGAGTGAAAAGGACAAATAAGATAAATGCAATATAGGCTTAAGCATACCAAAGGACAAATGCATCTTACGTGTCTTTCTATTAACCTCTATTATACTGTACATGTATTTCTGTCAGTTGCTATCTGAGTGCTACAGGACAGCAAAATGTCAGGTAAAAGCTGCCATGGCTGCTCTGAAGGAGGACCTGTCACTGTATCGTTCTGGTGTGGAGAAAGCGATCTCTGCAGGACTGCAACAGGCCAGTCTGCTGCAAGACCACATTGCTCACACCATCACAGGTGTGTGTTTGTGTGTGTTGGAATCAGAATTTGTAAAATGAGACAGTGATCTTCATCTGGATTCATTTCTTTTCACCTTAGAAGACATGTGTGAGCAGATGCTACAGTCTCTCCTACACACAATCGTCCCGAGGCTCGACCGCACTCTGCAGGAAGTGGCCACACCCACCTACAATGGATTTGCTTCTGCCCGGCAATATTTCCTGGAGACATGTGATGGCATTGTAGACCTGGGATCACAAAGCACATCAGTGAAAGATATCAAAAAGGTGCATTTGCCAGTTATTTATTTTATAAAAAATGCCCTTGTTTGTCCAATGTTTCTGACCCCCTTTCCTTTACAAGATATTACTTTCCACAATTCAAAAAAAGGAAAAAATCACTCTTTGGTTAAACCGCTGACAACGCATGATCACACTGAGACCACAAGGTCTTTGACGAGATGTCACAAGTAGCATTGCTTCGTTTTAAAAGTAATGTATGCTATTTCTGCTGCAAGGGGGATTGTCACATTAAAACAATAACAAAAATAGCCAAAGTTTGATGACATTGTGAAGTAGCGTGGGATTATGGGAGTTGCTGTCTTCACCACCATTGCCATCATTGCAGTCAGATTCTCCTAGTAAGGATTCCTTCAGGGTTCATTGTTGAGGTGGCATTAAAACCGGTAAAAACAGCAGTTTCATCTTAAAAATCTGTGTTTTTCTGACACTGTTGGGCAGACAAAGGATGTCCTGGAGAGTCTGCCAGCTGAGCTGCTGATGTACGATGACTAAAATCCTTCATGCAATTGAAATATATAGTTAACAATCAACCAAAATCTAAAAGGTAAAATGTAAAAATGTGGCCAAAAACTGTATGAAAAGTTTATGACAGCTTCTGGCAGACAACACAGGGACATATGCGCTGAGGGGATATGATGCCATAGACAGGTGACCGCTGATAGGCTCTGTTACCGGAATAAAATTACAGATTTCTCTGTAACATTGTTGAAAATATTTGGGATTATATTATTACACCACTCAAAAAAAGATATAACAAAGGTCTGGTGTTTATTACATAATAATTATATATTTTAATAAATATATAAATATTCTGGTCACAGGCCAACCATGTGTGGATCACTGTTCTAGATAGTAGCTAATAGCAGAAGGAAGATGTTTGATCAAAACTTCCTTCAGGCAACAGGGGAGGTGTTTTTATAGCTTCTTCAGACCACTTTATCATTTGACTGGCAGGTATACCGTTGTGTAATGGTGATGGAATGTGAAGTGTTTACAAGACCCAAGGCACAAAATATTTTAATGTCATGTTTCTTTAATAATCATTAAGAAAAATGTCTGAAAATGTGTGTGAATACCTTATGTCATCTATGGGATGGAATATATAAAATGTTAGCATTTTTACAGTTAATCTAAGGCTGTACGTAGAACTAAACCCTAATGTGAGAGTCTGATGAATACTGTCAATGATTCACACATACACACAGCACTTTACATAAGTGGTTTATATTTTAGCTGCTGATGCCTTTGAGTGGCCTCGGACCAGACGATGCCAGGATGTGGCAGTGCCTCGACAGGCTGGAGTTGAGCTCAGAGGGGCGGATGTGGCTCCAGGAGACATGGGGAGTCCACAGTGGAGCCTGGAGACCCTTGGTACTCAAAGCTCAGAACGCTCTCTACAAAGTAATTTAACAAACATGTTTCTGTATCCAGTAAATTAAGGTTTTATTTTTTTTTTAAATGTACTATGTCGTCTCTCACATCCCTCCATTCTTCTTCTCTTCCAGGCGGTTGATATGTGTGCTGTGATGTTCTGGAAGTTGGTCTCTCGATATCCATGTTTCTCCTTCGACTCTTCCCAGCTGACAGCGGTGCTGTATAGGGTCAAAGATAAAGTGGTCAAGGTGTGTACCAAGGTGGGCTTGGGAAGAACACACTTGAACTAAAAACCTAAATAGGCCTTTCTCTGTCTGTCCCTGTCTCTGTCTCACACAGCACCTGGACACAGAACTGCTGGCTCTTCGATCTCAGTTAATTCTGGAGATGATCCTGCTGATAACACTGCAAGCATTTACTTGTGGTGTGGGTGAGCAGGTACAGGGTCTTTACATCTTTATGTGTTTATCTTCTTCATTTTTGGTCTTCATTTTAATGGTAACTCCTCTTGGTTTCAGGATCTGTCTCGCTACTATGCCATGGTTGACTCAGACCAGGCCCTCTTCATCCACCCTGACACCATCTTCCACTCCATCTTGAAAGACAACCTAACCTCTTATATCCAATCAGGTACAGTGTGTGATTGGAGATGTTTTATCATACAACCTTGTGCCTTTTTCTTTTTTTTTTTTTTTAATTGTACCATTCGTCTGCTACAAGGTTTTCAAGAAAGCAGTGTCAGGGTTACAATTCTGCTAACAGCTGTGTGTGTATTGTTTCCCCTGCAGTGATGAGGTACTCCATGCCACAGCAGTTCATGCCTCTCCCTGTCACTCCCAGCTACCCCTGCAGCTCCAGCTATAGTTTCTCTGAGCCAGTGTACCACAATCTGCTAACTCCTGGTGACTGCAGATTCCAGCACCACTTCTGCCAGACCTCTGAAGGCTCTGCCTCAGGATCTGAAACACTCACACCAAGCACCATATCCGACCTGGATGAAACTTTGGCCAACTCAGAAAGCCACACGCCCTCACTGTTTGATGCTGGAGAATACATCCATCTAATTGAACCATGAAGAAACTGTACAACAACACCATAAAGATTAGTATAGGTTATAACCTCAAACATAAAGTGCTTTGTATGTTCTGTCTTTATGATTGTTTCTGCAGTTTCTCACACATCCATGCTCCAGGCCTGCAGTAGACTACATTGAACACATGGACACGCCCATGTCGCTTCGTACAGCTGGATCTGCTCTTAAAGGGGAGGACAGCACATTACGGAATGAACCCTAATAGTTTACGAGGCCCCATGATACAATAATGTATTTGTATTGCATAGAAGTAAACCTAAACCCAAACATGGCAGGATGTGATATGATTAATTTACAACTCGTACACGAGGCACAGAAAGGTGGGCCTATGGCTGTCTTTTGAGAACACCGAGTTCCCCTTCAACCAGTCCAGACCTGCCCTTTAATTCATTTAGTTCCTCCGCCATGTATCCACTGTCGGCATAACACAACAGCGGGACCCTGAGCTTTCCACATCCTCCGTGCCCTTCTCTGTCCTCCGCGTCACCAGCGAGTTTCTCTCCCCTGCCATGCTCCGGGTCACCTCGTTGCTGCCCGCCCTGCTGTTCGTTCTCCTGCCGGGCCCGAGCCGGGGGTATTTCCCCGAGGAGCGCTGGAGCCCCGAGTCTCCGCTCCTCGCTCCCCGGGTCGTCATCGCGCTGGTCTGCCGCAACTCGGCGCACTCTCTGCCGCTGTTCCTCGGAACCATCGAGAAGCTCGCCTATCCGAAGGACCGCATTGCGCTGTGGTGAGTGTCACCAGTTCTAAGTTAGAGGAATAACAGCGGGACTTCTCACTGTATCATGTCAGAACTTTTAGAAGTGTGTTTTTAGGGATATTAAATTTGCATTAAAGTACGATAAAGTGTGATTCAGCGTCAGGGCGCACCAGAGACACGTCAAGCCCCGTGTACCGTTAAAGACATTTATGGAGGAAAACTCTTCGTGCGTTTGCGCGTGCGCTTTTTGGGTTTTGGCTGGGTGGGGGCCGCTGTGTTGCTATAAAGATGCAGGTAATGGAACAAGCCGCTTCATAACAAATCAAATCGGAGGTGAAAGGAATTAAAGTTGAAGTGGAGTGGCTCTACACGTTGTGCGGACTTGGCGCCGGTAGCGGGGCACGGAGGTCGGTTGAAAAGTTCCATTCAGTCACAGATCTTCTCCCTCATCGCCCCTCCGGTTTCTCCCCCTCCTCTTCTCCTCCCTCCCGTTTTCTTTCCCCTCCCTTTTCCCCTTCCCCTTTCCACAGCTTCGTCTTGCAGAATGGAAACAAAACCAGTACTGTATAAAACAATAAATGTCTTAAAGTGGACATGAAACGTGCTTGTTTCGGTACAGGTAGTGTCATGTTGTACGTGAACATGTTATCCACGTACAACCAACTGTGTCTGTTTGGTGCCTCTGCAGGAATTATTTACCTTCCTTTGCCCCTTTCTGTCACCCAGCCCCCCAGACTTCCAGATTGTTCTTGTCTCCAGCACTGCTCACTTCCTCTTCTCATTTTGATCTTGTGCCAGTAGATCTGTTTTTAAAGATTAAGTTAATCTTTTCATTGCATTCACACCTGACAGGTCAAATCACATCACTCGTCAAACCCAGAGGCCTAATAAAAGGCAATAGCCTCAAGCAGAGTTATGTTTGACTCTGTGAGTTTGGATTGAAATTAAACATTATTCACTCCTGCGAGTTGATTGTTTGATCCCAGAGGGTGCTGTGCTTTGACTGAGAGTGAATGTTGAATTGAACTTTTTCAGATGGAGCTTGAATGACGGACCCGGAAGTATCCGTGTGTCTCTTTAAATGAACCCAGCCTGGATGTTGAGCCTTTCTTTCTTGGGTCAGTGCCAGAAATTCAGCCTCTGTGCCTCTGAGTCGAACTGTGCCCATGTGGCAGCCAGTGCTCAGTTTTCTGCGTGGTTGCTTTGATCTACAACACATCTTTGCCCTCAGTTGAAGAACGCATTATAAGAAGTTTTGAAATGCGATGTGGAAGACAAACTGAGCTGCTTGACAGCCATGTGTCGATACCTGCAGTTTTCAGTCTGACAGGTTAAGATGGAGTACTTGGCCAGCGGCAAGATCGACACCCATGTTTGCAGACTCATTGTGTGTGTGTGTGTGTGTGTGTGTGTGTGTGTGTATGTTCTGCAGGGACATGCAAGATGGATATTATCAAACCATGAATCCCTCAGCTCCTCTGTCTTATCCTTTAGCCATGGGACTATTAATGGCATACAAGAAATCCCAACTATTTACTCTCTATAAACCCTTTTTTATTCACTGCCTCTGCTCATCAAAACTCCACAGAAGTCAGAGAGGGAAAGGTAGACTGGTGCAGAGAGAGAGGAGGAGGAGGAAGAAGAAGATGGATAGGTAAGTCGGTCACATGTGGGTGCTGGGACAGCACTACTGTGTTAAATTGCCACGGACAGATGGGAAACTAACACCTGGAGCACGCCGACTGTCACTCACTACATGACAGGGCTGGAAGTAAATCCATTCCTCTCATATTTAAACATTGCGCCCCCCCCCCTCTCTCTGGCTTTGTCTGTGTCTGTGTGCCTCACTGAGACACACACACACACACACACACACACACACACACACACACACACACACACACACACACACACTCACACAGATTTGTTATGATAACACAGACAGCAGGGGAATGCCAGTCCTCCCCTTCTTATTGTCTGCCTTTTTTCTTCTTTGTCCACGCCTGACATTAGTGATGTGCAACTCTGCCCAAATGACAACAAGATGGATAATAAATCAGTATTATATCAATATTGTATATACAATTCAGTATTGCTCTTACTAAAAGCATGATATGCAGATATATACATATAGGTATGAGCTCACTGCAGTAAATGAATGGACCAGACCAGAAAACAATGGAGCTCCTGTGGTGAGAATGTGAGTGACAGAATAATAACTGTTGGCAAATATGAATAAATAAGGCATTATCATGCAGAAGGATTGTTGTGCTGCACAAAATTCAGTCACTGGCCCAGTGCAGCCGATTAAAGGTGGAATCACTGAATTTCAACAGTTTTTATGAAGCTCAGTCACGTCTTAATAAGGTCAGTGTTGCGAACAACAATGTTCCAGTGTATCAGATCGGTGCACCCTAATATGTCACTGCTCTAATGTAACATTTGACACACAGCGATAGAAGAGTAAATCATTATATCCACCTCTAAGCCAACGTGACACTGGCTCATTGAGAAGAATATCTTACACAGTTGGTACTGCTGATCCAGGTGCACGTCTTACTCCTTACTCATGGTCTCTTGCTGTCTGTCTCTCTGCCTCTGTCTCTCTCTTTGCTGTCTGTCATCCTCCCACAGGGTGGCGACAGATCACAACGTAGATAACACTACAGCCATCTTGAGAGAGTGGCTCATCAAGGTGCAGAATTACTATCACTATGTGGAGTGGAGACCTGATGATGAACCCAGGTACTGTGTGTGAGTGAGTGTGTGTGTGTGTGTGTGTGTGTGTGTGTGTGATGAGTTAGATTACTTAATGGGTCTGTCTGTGCATGTCTCAGTGCCTTTGAAGACGAGGGGGGGCCTAAGCACTGGAATAATCTCCGTTATGAACATGTAATGAAGCTCCGCCAGGCAGCGCTGGAGACTGCCCGTGAGATCTGGGCCGACTACCTCCTGGTATGTTATCATCCACTCAACAGCTTCTTGAGCCTCTTTTTATTATGTACTCTCAGAGATGTCTCTGTGTGTAAGTAGGAGAATTGAATATTTAAATACCCACAAATCCATCATCTACAGGGTAAAAATAAAAAATCTGGACGAAAAACCCCTCAATCTTTTACATAACATAACAGAATAAGAACTGCGTTAAAGTGACAAAACCAATGATTAATAAACCATTTCTTAAAATACATTTTTGATGAATACTCACGAATGAAGACCATGTTTTTATAATGTTTAATGTTAATGTTTTCATTTCTATTTAGTAAAATTAGTTCAGATATTTGGTTTTAGTCAGTTTAATGCATGATTAGATAATTTATTTGCCAGTAAGAGTTAACTGGTGGTAATGTAGAATGAACGTTGCTATGGTTACCTGCATTTTATTATAAAGTGCAATGATTTAGAGATTGTTAAAATGTTTTCCTCAAGCGTTTAAGCCAGTAAGTAGACCTTGAGTTGGGATTTTAATATTTTTGATGGTGTTAAGGTAACTTGATTTTAATAACACCTGCCAGACATTCAGAAAGGATTTTTCTTCCCATGGCTTTAATGAGTTGCCGATATGGATTTTTTTGTTTTTACAATCATCACTATTGTAATCAAAATGTTTCATAAGGATTCCTTAATACTTAAATCCTTAAATTTAGCTATTAAAGAACTATGACAACGATGTGTACTGAGCGGGACATTTAACAGCTTGTCAGTACAGTCCGTTGAACAAATATGAAATGTTTCTAAACTATCTCAGAAGGGTTTTTGACAGTTAATTTTACTTATTGGCCGACATATAAGCTGCACTGATGCGTCTGGGATAATATCAGCCGATATATCATCCCGGCTGATTATCGGTCAGGCTCTAGTAGAAACAGTTTAGTACAGTTCCAAACGTCAGCGTAAGAATGACCACAGTTTTAACTTATTAGTATAAAATACATGTGGACAAATATTATGTCTGAAGCAAATGCAGGTTGGATGGGAGCAGTCTTCATTCACTGTTCTTTTGAGACACATCAAACATACACAAGGGTTAAATGTAGTACAGAGCAGCCTGCTGCAGTCTGTTGGATGGGCTTGTTCTGGGCTGAGAGATGAAGCGAATAAAGAAGGAGCTGCGTATGCTCACAGTTCTCTGTGATCGAACCATGTTGCTGGGGTTCAATCAATCATTTAGTGGCAGTAGGTGACAATTTGTGTGTGTTCGCAGGTGTCAATATTGTGCCCTTCTCTTCCGTCTGCAGGTGGCTGACTGTGACAACCTGCTCACCAATCCTGATGTGTTGTGGAAGCTGATGAGCGAGAACAAAACTATTGTAGCACCCATGCTGGAGTCCAGAGCTGCATACTCTAACTTCTGGTGCGG